CAGCTCTGGGGCTGAGGCTCAGCCTCTCACTTTTCCAGTTGGGGCCATCCTGTGCATGGCTGGGTGTTGAGCAGCCTCCTCAGCCTCTACCCACAGGTTGCCAGGAGCTCCCCTACCCCCAGCTGTGACAACCAAAAATTGTCTCCAGACGTCACTTAATGTCCCCCTGGGAGGCAAAATCGCCCAAGTGGAGAGCCCTGATGTAGGATGGGGTTTCACAGAGCAGGAGAAGATGGGGAAAGTAGCAAGTCTGGCCAGAGGGAGTGAAGGGCACATAGGGACACCCCCCTTCTCGACCTTCCACTCCAGGTGCCACCATGCCCGCCTCCCTGCCCTGCCCCACACCCCTCACCGTCACACACAGCCCCAGCGTCCTCGCGGTGGTGACAGTCATGCTGGCCCCAGGGCCGTGCTGGGCAGAATCGCAAGGCCGTCTCGTTTCCGCGACACCGAAGATCGTCCAGGATGATGGGTCCAGACCCCTCCCCAAAGAAGGCGCCCCCAGGGGCGGCCAGCGCCCCCCCACAGCCCAGCTCCCGGCAGGCCACTGCGGCGTCACGCAGGTCCCAAGCGTCATCACACACTGACCCCCAGCGCCCACCGTGCCAGACCTCCAGGCGGCCAGCACAGCCATGCGGGCCATCAGCCAGGCGCAGCCTGGGGGCCGGGCCTGGACAGGGAGAGAGGGAGGACAGAGCACCAGGAAGCTGGGTGGATGAGCAGCGACTGAGCTACCCTCGCAGGAAACTAGGGTGGACGGGCTGGGACTATGTTAAGGACAGGACGGGCTTCATCCCCAAGATGACGCTTGAAACAGATATTCCATCTTCAATTGGCAAATAAGGAAAAGGCTCTGAGATGGGAAGTCATTGGCTGAGGGTCCAACTCTGGTCATCCACCTATGTGCCTGCCTCCTGGGGGCGGGGACCCTGACTCCGACCCTGGGTGCACCTCCCGTGCCCGGCTCCCCTCTTCTCCCAACTCTCAGCTGTGGCTTCCCAGGTTCCATAAAGCAGGGTTCCCAAACCTCAGCACCGTGGACATTTGGGGACACATCATTCTTTGTCATGGGGGGCTGTCCTGTGCAGCACCCACCAGATGCCAGTGGCACCCCCAGTTGTGACAGCCAAAGAGGAAGGAGGTTGCTGGGTCCCAGGAAGCCCCGACGTACCGGTGCAGACCAGCCCGGCGTCCTCGCTGTGGTCGCAGTTGCTGCGGCCCCAGGGGCTCCGCGGACAGTCCCGGAGGGCCTGCTCTCCTCCTCCGCACCCCACGTCGTCCATCCACACCGGCCCTGAACCTGGCCCAAATCTGGCACCCCCAGGGGCGGCCAGCGCCCCCCCGCAGCCCAGCTCCCGGCAGGCCACGGCGGCGTCCCGCAGGTCCCAGCCATCGTCGCACACGGTGCCCCAGCGCCCGCCGTGCCAGACCTCCAGGCGGCCGGCGCAGCCGTGAGGGCCTGAGACCAGGCGCAGCCGCTCTGGGGCAAGGAAGGAGGGAGGCAGTGCGGCTGGTGAGAGGCAGAATCAAACACCCCTTCCTCGGTTTTCACCTGGGGAAACTGAGGCCCAGAGTGGGCAGGGTCCTGAGATCCGCCTGCCAGCGGCCCATTGAGGGAAGAGAGCCACGACCTGAGTGGGGCAGGACACCTAGGTGTCCTGAGGGGTGGGGCAGGAAGAAGAGGGAGGACCAGGCCTGACTTTCTGAATCCCCAGGGAGGGATGTGGTGGATGCTGGGATCCTTCCAGGGCCCCGGTTAAGGAGAGAGCACCCATGGGTCCCCAGTCTGGCTGGTCCTAGGGTCTCACAACACCCAGACTTGGGGCTTGCGGGAGGCCGCAGTTACCTTGGCGAGGGGCTCCGGTCGTCAGCAAAGGAGCTCGGGTGGACTTGGCCTGCTTGGGTGGCCGGGGGCTCTTCTTCCGGGGGCTGTTCTGGGGGCTCCCCACTGGGCGGGGGACTGGGAGAGAAGACAGCCAGAGGTCAGGAGTTCATCCTTCCTCCCACCTGGGGAGCCAGGCTTCCCTCTCCAAGCGTCTGAAGTGGTGGAGCACACGCAGGTTGTAAAGGAGACAGTGCAGACACATCTGTCCCTAGAGGGGTCTTAGTGCCACATGTCCCTCTCCACATGGCTGAAGCAGGAGGGAGAATCCTGGGCAGGGGGTGGGCAGCCAAGTCCTTTGGGCTCACCAGGAGTCACGGGGGGCTCCTCCGAGCTGGGGCTCAGCTCCCCAGGCAGCCCTGGCCACGAATCCCCATCCAGTGGGGAAGTGGGATTGTCCCTCGAGTTAGCCACGCGCTGACCTACAGGAGAGAACAGCAGCTATGAAGAGGGTGGGGGGGTAGAGAGGTCATTTGGGTCCCTGGGAGAGGCACAGGGCCAGGGTACCGGGGCTCTGAGTGGTTGTAAGTTGGTCCCAGAGGGAGGGAGACACCTGGCTTTGGATGGGAGCAGAGGCAGGGCGTCTCTGGAGTGCAGGATGCTCGGATTTACTGGGGCTAAGGACTTTGAGCTGCCAAAGGAGTGCCCTTGAGGAGGGGTGGGGGTCCCCTCACCTGCACAGACGACGCCCGCGTCCTCTTCATGGGAGCAGATATGGGCCTTCCAGCCCCGGTGGGAGCAGAGGCCTAGCTGCCCCTCGCTGCCCCGGCAGGCCAGCTCGCTGAGCCATACTGGCCCTGCGCCCTCCCCGAAGAAGGCACCCCCGGGGGCGGCCAGCGCCCCCCCGCAGCCCAGCTGCCGGCAGGCCACAGCGGCATCACGCAGGTCCCATCCATCGTCGCACACGGTGCCCCAGCGCCCGCCGTGCCAGACCTCCAGGCGGCCAGCACACCCGTGGGGACCGTCAGCCAGGCGCAGTCGCTCTGGGGGGCGGGGGTGGAGGAAAGACTGTCACCCTGAGGCCCCAGGGCTGGGGTGACAGTTGGAGCTGGGGGCTGTCCCATAGGGTGCCATTGGGAGGCCAGCCTCTGGCCACTGGACCCTGGACCCAGACTCCTGGGTGCTCAGAGATGTGGCTGGACGCCTGGGGGATTCTAGCAGGGAGCAGTGGCCGAGGCCACAGCCATAGCGGGATGGAGGGGCGGCCAGGGACCCGGCAGGAGGAGGGCACAATGGGTCGGCTGGGGGCTGGGAGAGGCCAGACAGGAGGAGTGTCTGGGACACTTACCAACAGCCTGGATCCCCACCAGTGCCGCTGGAAGGGAGGTTGGAGGGTGGGACAGAGTGAGGGGCAGGCCAAGGTGGGTCCCTTCTCCACAGGCCCCTCATCTTGAATGCCCCGAGACACACACACACAATTCTCACACCTCTGAGCCAGAAACCCCATAGCTGGGAAGCAGGACTCTGGGCAGAGGGTCTGGGTAGGACACAGGTCTCTGAGATGGGTGGGGCTCCAGATGCCTGGCCCCTGAAGTCAGGGCTGGGACAGAGCCTTCGTGTTCCCACAGGGACTTGGCTGAAAGTCAGATGGCTGGGGACCCCCACAGGGGCAGGTGGGGTAAGGGGGCCAGGTCTGGGCTTCTATGGGGGAGGGCTGGGCGTGCAGAAGGCTGAGTCCCTGAGGGGTCAGGCAGGGCCAGCCAGATGTCAGGATATCCTGGAGCACCAGGAACTGGGTCCTGGAAGTCTCAGTCCCTAAACTGGATGAGCTAAGGGGTCGGAGGTGGAGGCCTAGGCCCCTGAGTCCCCAAGGAGAAGGGATCACTCACCAAGGAGGCAGGCCAAGACCCTCATGTTTGCAGAGTCCAGGGCAGGGCCAGGGTGAAAGGGGAAGAGCAGGAGAGGGAGGCGGAGGCTCCCCAGAGGGAGGGAGGGAGGGAGGGAGGGAAGCGCCTGCCGGAGGCGCTCAGGGCCCAGGACAGAGAAGGAGCAGGCAGGGGCTGGATGCTTTGCCAGGAGGAAGAGAGAGGCTGCAGGGAGGCGGCAGGGGACAGGAGGGGGAGGGCTGGCCAGAGGCTGAGGCTGGGGAGGAGGGGGGTGGCAGGCGGGAGGGAGGGTGTCCAACTGCAAACACCCACACGGGAGACCGCCAGGCAGAATCCAGCCAGCGGAGGAGCGCTGTGCTCACAGATGCTTGGGGGGTGGCAGGCTACAGAGAAGGGGCAGGACAGGGGTGGGGGGAAGCATGGGTGGAGGCCCACCTCCTGCCTCCTCTCTTGTCCAGCCAGGGAAGCCTGGTCAGACCACTGCTGGGGTTGGGGGCAGGGCAGACCTGGGGCTCTCGGTGCAGCAGCAAGAGGGCTTGCAGCCAGACACCAGGAGGGACTTCCTGGATTAGGAAAAGACTATGCAACTCTTTGCTCCATTTCTCTCCTCACTGGTGGATTTGAGTGTGAAGCCCCAGTTCCTCATCTGAGGGGGAAGTGGCTGAACATCAGTGTCCCCAGGGGGAAATGGGATAAGGGGGATGGGAAGCCCAAGGGTCAAGGCTTGGGAAAGGGAGGGGGCTCTACACACACACCCATTCACACACTCACACTCGCACACACACTCCCTCCACACCAGGCAGCTGCGAGGCGGAAAAAATTCGGTAATGGGGAGTGTGACTCAGAGGGCTGGCAGGGCCTGGGGCTGCCCGAGCTCACTGCCTCCCCTTCTCCCAGTCCAGCACCCCCCCAACAATTAATGTCAACTTGGGGAAAGGAGGAGCCAGACAGAAGCAGGCGGGAGTCGGAGACAGACTGGAAAAGGCATCAGAGATGAAACAGGCACACAGCAGTTTCAGGCTTTATTAACAAACAGTGTAAAAAAGCAGATGGATCTGGAGGGACAGGGCTGCCCCTCAGCTCCGACCTTCCCAGAGAGGCCAGGCCCAGCAGCCCTGTGCCCCACCCCCACCCCTGGCTCTAAGCAGTCAACTAGACCCCTCCAGGACGAGCATCCAAGCCCACTCCAGTCCCAGGGAGGCTGTGTCCCCTAGAGGTGCCTCTGTGCAAATCCTAACTCAGCCCCCTCCCTCCTCCCCCTCCCCGGCCTGAAGTGCAAACAGCACAGCCCCTGCAGACAGACAGAGTGGGGGTTCTCAGTGCAGGAAGAATCTGAGGTAGGGGGTTGAACAGGCTGACCTCTGGCAGCCCCCAGAGCCAGGAAGGGAGAGAGAGATTCAGTCCACTCGGAGAAATTCAAACACTGCAGACTTCACACTTTGGAAGGACACACAGAGGTCAGGCTCCTGCCCTCTGCAGGCCTCCCATTCCTGGCCCTGGCTGGGCTGGGGATTCACCCAGGAAGTGGACATGAGAGTGCCTGGCACACTGTGGGGCACACAGGGGCTGGCTTCCCTCCCAGAGCGCTGTGGGGAAGGGGATGCGCCCTTCTCTAGCTCAGGGGTAGCAGTCCTCACAGGTCTTTGCTGAACTCCCTCACCAGCGTGTAGCCCATGCAGCCCCAGCCCCCCTCTGCCTGGTAGCCACAGCCCTCCAGCATCCCTGCCACCCCCCAAGCAGCCACAGCCACCGGGACCACAAGCCGGGCCCGGGGCTCCCCCATTCCCCCAGCCCAGGCTCGAGCCCGGGACTCTGCAAAGGCCAGCAGCCTCCTTCCCACGCCCCTGCGGCGGTGCCAGCGAGAGACAGAGAGGCGGGTGACCCGGGCCCCATCCCCTGCGTTCGTGCCAGGGGCCAGGGCCAGGATCCCACACACGTCGCCAGAGCCACGCACGGCCACCCAGGGGCCCCCGAGGCCGCCTGGTGGAGGCAGCGAGCCCCATCGGGCCCGCAGGCCCAGCTTTACAGCCGCCACAGCCAGGAACACCGGTAGGAGGAGGGCCAGGGCGAAGGAGGCCAGAACAAAGCGCAGGCCACTGCTGGCCGCTGCCAGGAGGAGCAGGGCTGGTGGCCGCGTCAGAGCATGGAGCGCCACGCGGTTTTCTGTGTCCTCCACGCCGGCCTGTGGGAAGGAGGGGGGTCCTCAGCCATCCATCCTGCTAGGGCCCCGGCCTGGGGCAGGGGTGGGGGCTCCCAAGTGGGAAGGGAAGGCAGCAAGACCGGGTAGTCACCGGTCTGGCACACTGGTGTTGAGTGAATCAATCAATGACGGAGGAGTGAGTTAGGAGCTGGGAGGGCACTCAATTCAGTGGAGGTGCCACAGTGGGGCACCAGGGACATGCCCCTGAGGGTGAAGAGGTGGGAACAGGACAGGGAAAGTGCCCCCAGGCTGGAAAGGGAGCCTGTTGGGGAGGGCAGGGCCAGGCTGAAGCACCAAGCTGTGTTTTGAAGAGTTTGAGTGGGACGCTGGCAGACGGGGGCAGACTTTGGAGGCAGGACACTAGGGAGGGCGTTGGAGCCCAGAGATGAACACCCAGCCCCCACACCCCTCCCGCTGCTGAAAACCTGGCCCCCAGCGTGGCTGAGGCTCAGGTAGGGAGAAGGCATTAGAGAGAGAAGTGGCCAAGGAAGTAGCTTAGGAGGAAAAGCTCCCCCTCCAGGGGGCCTGGCTGGCTCAGGTGTGTGGGAGCCCCCACTGTGACCGTCCCCAGGCTCACTGGGGCCCCGCTGCTCACCTTCAGCATCTCCAGCACCAGGGGCCTCTCATCTTCCCTCATCTCCCGCACTGACAGGTGGCTGGGGGCCATGGCAGCCCCCACACCCCCGGCCCCCAGAAGGGAGCTGGTGTGGTGCACCTGGTGAAAACACAAGTAGGTCAGCGTCAGGTGGGGACCTCTGTTCCCAAGGGCCCCCAGTGGGTGGGGAGCAACAGCAGCATTTCCCAGATCGGGACCGTGAGGACCCTCGGGGCACCCAAGCGAAGACCATGGCATGACGGGCACCCCCTTCATACCCAGCGACCTTTCTGAAGTTTCCTGGGATCTCCCCTCCCCGGCGGTATTCAGCCATCTGCCCCTAAACGCGCTGTGGACGCCAACACGCTGCAGCACCGGGATCCGTCCCAGGCGCCGGGGCTGCCCTGGGGGTCAACGAACCCCCTCCCCACATGCCGGAGAACATGCCACACTCCCTCCGCCCGTTCCCGGCGCCCCCTCCCCCGCAGTCGTCCCTCTCCCCCGTCACAAGAGTGAGGACCCGCAAGCACCTCCACGGGTCGCTTCGATCCTTTGACAAGGTGGTGGGGGGAGCAGGGTCGGGAAGGGGTCGCCGGCGGAAGTGACGCGCAGACTCGCGCAAGGGGTGGGGGCGGGGCGCGCCTACTCTCGGCCGTAGCAACTGTTGCCATGGTTCCCCGCCCGGGAGGCGGGTGGAGGAACGGCGTGGGATGGGGACGGACCGAGCCAGGGAGCTGTGACCCTGCTGGGGGGCTGGAGGGGGTGACCTCTCCGATTCCTAGAGGAGAAGGAACAATGGGGAAAGTGGCCCTGAGGAAAAACGGGAGCAGACGCTGGCGAGGAAGGGAGCTGTGGGATGCACGGGAGGGGCGGCGAGCGGGGCTTACCTGGCCAGCGGAAGGTTAGCGCAGGCTCCCTGCCCGACGTTCCCTCGTTGCTAAGCAACCTGAGCGCGGGGAGGGCGGGGATGCGAGGCGAGCGATTCTCATTGGTGCCGAGGCCTCGCGGGAGGAGCCGCGAGCGGAGCTCAGCGCCTTGAGCCCACGAGCATTAAGCTCCCGTCCCTAGGGCCCTCCGGCTCCACCCACGGGGCCCCGGGTTCGCAGTGCGCTTCGGGACAAGGCTCTACCCCTACCCATTTTTCAGATGAGGGCAGGGGTGGGGCGACTTGCAGGGAACAAGTGGCAGAAACTGGATGCTGATTCCAACACCTCCCCACTGTTGTGATCCCTGCGTCCTCCCTTTTCTTAAAGGATAGGGAAACAACAGCCCCACGTAGGAGTAGCTGGCTCCAAGACGCAAAACAAGTCCTCTGAGTAAGCTAGGACTCCGGGCTCCCAGGCAGGGGCTATGACCATGACATTGCCCCCCTTTTTCCCGCCCAACCACCTCCCATGAGAACAAAACAAAGGAGTGGAGATTCTGGGTCTTTATTAGCAAGCCCAGCCTGCAGTTCCCCCACCCAAGGCTGACAGTAGGGGTCTGTGTGGGGCGGGAAGAGCGGCTCTCCTCAAAACGTGTGCACCAGCTGGACTGCGGGTAGAGTCTGGACAATCTGGATGGAGGGTAGACCCTGCGGGGTCATGACACCGGGCCCAGCCCCGGCAGGGACCACTTGCACCATCTGGGAGGTGGGAGCAGCGGGGAGTCCCGCGGGGACAGAGGCTGGACCAGGTGGCGGTGGGGCCAGGAGCTGCAGCGTGGCGGAGCCTCCTCCAACGCTGCCGTTCTCCAGCAGCTCAGCGGCTGGGGCGCTGCGGATGATGAGGAGTTTCTGTCCCGGCGGGCCGGGGGCAGGCGGCTCGCTCAGCCCGGGGGGAAGGGTTTCTACCTCCTGCACACACAGCCTGGTCTGCTCCCCATCGGCCCCGCTCAGCACCAGCACACTCTGCAAGCCCTCGTCTGTCTGCAGCGTCTCAAAGAGGACGTCCTGGACCACACCAGTGCTGGCCTCACCTTCCCCCGCCGCCCCCGGCCCTGGGCCCGTGAGCAAGTCCTCGGCTGCCCCACTCTGAACAACCAGCAGGCTGGGGGCCTCGGCAGTCACAGCTCCCCCGCTGGAATTGGAAAGCTGGCCCGCCACGGGCTGGAGCTGAACCGTGGCCACCTCCTGTGCCGGCTGAAGCTGGACCGCAGTCACCTCCTGTGCCGGCTGGAGCTGGACTGTGGTCACCTCCTGTGCCTGCTGGAGCTGGACCGTGGTCACTTCCGGGGCTGGCCGCAGAGGCTGGAGCTGAACTCCACTCACTTCCTGGGGCCCTGCCTCCCCGCCCCCCACATTCTGCAGAACAATGAGGCTCTGCCCTCCACCACTGGCCCCTGCACTGCTTCCTCCCTGCACCCCCAGGCCCCCAGGGCCTGGCAGCCATACTACTCCTGCCCCCTGACCAGCTTTCCCTGCAGCCCGAGGGCCCTGCCTTGCACTGCCGCTCCCACCCCCAGCAGTGGAGGGGGGCAGCAGAATGAGCTTGGGAGGCGCGGGTGGAGGCGGAGGTGTAGGGGGCTGGACGCTGCTGGGGATCAGCTGGAGGCCCTGGGCAGTCTGCACCAGGAGGAACGTCTGGGAGTTGGGGGCTGCTGGGCCCAAGGTCGAGGCCTGGGCCGTGCCCCCGGCCACCTCGAGGGAGAGCGTGGCCTGCAGGTGGGGGAGCACGTGGACGTCTTGGGTGGCTGGTGGAGCCGGGGCGACAGCCAGTGGGGCAGGGGGCTGGGGGCCGGCGGCGGGGGCTGCGGTACTGGGGGCCGTGTTGGCCGGGGCGTGCGTCCTCAGGTGCCGCTGCAGGTAGGCGGCCATGACGAAGCCGCGACCGCAGATGGGGCAGGCGAAGGGGCGCTCGGCCGAATGGGTGCGCTGGTGCAAAAGCAGGTTGGAGGAGTGGGTGAAGGTCTTGGGGCAGAGCGGGCAGCGGAAGGGCCGCTCGCCCGTGTGCACGCGCTGGTGCTGCCGCAGGTTGGAGGTCTGGGCGAAGCTCTTGCCGCAGACGCCGCACGCGTGGGGCCGCTCGCCCGTGTGCACGTGGCGGTGGCGCCGCAGGCACGACGTGTTGCGGAAGGCTTTGCCGCACTCCCCGCAGGCGTAGGGCCGCTCGCCCGAGTGCAGCCGCAGGTGGTACTGGTAGTGGGACGACCACTTGAAGGTGAGGCCGCACTGGCCGCAGGTGAAGGCGCGCAGGCCCGTGTGCACGCGCTGGTGGATGGCCAGCAGCGAGGAGCGCTTGAAGGCCTTGCCGCACTCGCCGCACTGGTAGGGCCGCTCGCCCGTGTGGTCCCGCAGGTGGTAGCGCAGCCCCGAGGAACCCTTGAAGGCCTTGCCGCATTCGGCACATTTGTAGGGCCGCTCTGTAGAAGCGGGGGCTGGTGGGGGTGGCGGAGGCGCGGGGGCAGCAGGTGCCAGCGGCTCCTGGGGGCAGGTGACCTCGGCAGCCTCAGCCTGGGGGGGTGGTCGCCCGGCGGCCGCCTCTTCTACGTGGCACTGCTGGTGTGCCAGGAGGCTGGCCAGCTGCGGGAAGGAGCCGTCGCAGCTGCCGCAGCGGAACGCCTGTCCCGCCTGTCCGCCGGCCGCCCCGTGGCTGTGCTGGTGGCGGGAGAGGCCGGCCACAGTCCGGAAGGACTTCCCGCATGGGAGGCAGGCGAAGCCCGGGGCGGGTGTGGCAGCGGCAGGCGGGGGCTGTGGCAGAGGGGACGGCGGGGGGTCGGCCTTCGGCGTCTCAGCGGGTGTGTCCTGGGGCTGGGGCGCCACCTCTGGCCCGGGGCATGGCTGGTGCTCCACGAGCAGCTCCTCGCTACCGAAGCCCTGCTCGCAGCCGTCGCAGCGGTACACCAGCTCCAC